TCAAAGTTTAGAGGATGGATTCTAAACAATCAAGAACAGCTCGAGACCGTGTTAGAAAAGTAGAGTGATACTACAATCTAGTGCATTTCTAGATTGATAAGTCAACTGAAAACTCAAGAATCCTCTCAAGTATTCAAGTTTGGAGCTCTTGAAAAAGAGACCCACGAAACACAAAGTGTTTGTTGGAATTTTCTTAATTCATCGTTCACCCCTCAGTAAAATGTTCGGACTAGGCTTATTTATAGCCATTACAAAGACTCAAAACCTAACTCGACTAGAACTAAGACTTAACCCTAAGTCGTTAGACTAATAAACCTAACTTAGCTCACTAATGGTCCACATGATCTTAGCCATTTATTCTACCAAAATATCGACTCACTAACGCTAATTAACATCTAATCATTGCTAAACAACAATTAACACACAGTTGGAAATTAATGAAACAAATGACAATAACGAATCATAACTTGTAAACTCTCTAAAACTAAAGAAAACTACTCCAAACTAATTAGTTTGATGAATGTGTTGAACCTCAATGGATGATTTGATGAATTCCAATAGACCAACTACTTGTATGACTTGAACATGAATCATAGAATCCTATGTTCGCATCACCTATGGTGTTGTTAAATAATTTGGTAATGTTGGACAATTTGTTTTACCTTAGGCAAGGCATACTATTAACGATAGTAAAAAATGTCATACTATGTGTAGATAAAACATTGCATACTATTATAGTAGATAATTAGCTGAGAGAACTATAAAAATTTACGCAACCATAATGAGGGATAATAGACATAGTTGTAATTCAGATTGAGGGTTGATGCTGAATGGTTCTACTATTCAACCTCATATTATTCACATAGATAGATAGATAAAGTAGTAGTCCTGAGATGTAAGTTGGTAAATAGTTAAGGTAGCAGTCTCGCAATCCTTTCTATTGAAGACTAGGTGATATATGGATAAGAAAATCTGCCCACACTTCACCCAACTGCAATAGTTACGATAAAATCTAATTTAGGAATCTTATTGTGCAAACAAAGCTATACAGTTCACAAAGCAAGAAGCACAAGTGAAAATGAGCATACCTGTGCAAATCTGACTCTGATGGTGTGAAATGGAAACATCTGAACCCTCAATTTTATATATTAATGACCACCATTATTGCCACTTAGTTTAGAAACTAATCTACAAATGGTGAAGAGAATGGGTGGTCTTCAGTTACAGATGTAATGTTGAGCTCAAATGATTCTTAATCTCCCACACTTTAATGAGCTCTTCTACATGCTACAATTACTGGTTCAAATGAGTGTATTTTGTTGGAAGAACTCAATTAATGTTTCTTGAGCTTTAACGATGAAGAGCACAAAACTTCCTACAGTTACAATTCACAAATAATCTTCAAATGGTTCTTCTACTTTGGCCCATTAATATCGTCTTAAACACATTTAATTCAATCGGATGGTTTTACCCCAATTCACCCCGCTTCCTTTCTATCTTACCATTGTACTAAACAAGTAGTTAAAAGGGTGAAAGTGTCACAAACAACACATAGGCACCATTTGTGAATGTAATCATCATCTCACAAAGGGCACTGAAGAAGCGCTGAGCTTCCCCGGACCGAGCTAAACTGATGAGCTCGGGGTGCTGATGGAAGAGCTGGTCCTAAGCCTGCAAAACAAACAAGAATGAACTAGCCAAGGGGGCCCGAGGGTTGTCTCCGAGGGCACTCCGACGGTCAAGTTAGGTTTCCGGTGAGTAGGGTTCACGGGAAGTAGAGACGGACGGGAGTGATTTGCCAATAGTGAGCGTATCTTGTACAGTCAATGTGTGCTATCATTTATACCTGTGAGGGAGTCCGACCTCCGTACTTTTCGAGACTTGCCCAGAATAGTCAGTATCCCGCACTCAGGGGGATTATCCCCGACCTCTTCGGGATGGACCCTTGCCTCCTTCAGGAGCCCTAGCAGTGCGGCCCAGGACGGCTGCCAGGGGCCTGAGGCCGAGGCCCAGCTCGGCCATGCCTGGGCTGCCACGTGTCTAGGCTCAGGATGGGGTCTCTGCACTAGCCCCCTAGATTAGGTAGGGTTGTCAGGCAGACCTAATCTACCTCTGCCACGTGGGAGGCCAGAGCCGCGCATTACCCTGCCAAGGTCACCTCTGGTACAGTGCTGTCACAGGGACGCTGCGCCCGCATCCTTTCAGTTGTCACGCCTCTTCGATTTTCGTACCAGCATTAAATGCGTTCACATGGGGGACGGTTCAAATCCACGCAACCGTTTTCCCCCCCATTCTTTCCCTTATAAATAGGGGTCACCAGATTTCCCTCTGCTCCGTTTGTCACTTCTCCTCCCTCTTGTGCATTTTGCATTCCCATTTTCCTTGTGCATTCGCATTTCCATTTTCCAGCAACTTCCGGTGTCCCGTGCCCAGATTCCGGCGAATCTTCCATCCTTCCTCTTCCTTGATCATCAGTAAGTCCCTGTTGCGATTCCTTTTCCTTTTACAGTGTCTCTTCCGCCTCCCGCCACCTCCTGCTTTTTATGTCGGGTCATTCCGACGTTACTTCCACCGCATCCCAGAGTACGGCCCGTCATAGAGTCACCAGGATCTTCATTTCTTCTTCATCCTCGTCTTCACCTTCTCCTCCTCCCCCTTCCTCTTCTTCTGCTTCTAACCCCGATCTGCTTGATCCCATAGACATTATGAGCTCTCCCTCTGCCCACTCTCCTTCAGCCCGAGACGTAGAGGAGGCGGCTGAGCTCGACGCCTATATGGAGCAACGGGCCGCCTCTGTCCCTTCTCCCCAGTCTCCACATGATTCCCCGGACGGAGCCCAGGGAGGAGCTGGAGAGGATAGGGACTCCTCCGAGGGGACCCCTGATCCCCCGCAGGGGGATGCTTCTGAATTTAGCTACGGCTACCCTGACCACGAGGAGGTCACCTTCTCACCCGAGGCGGTGGCCAAGTTGGTCAGGTCCTACTCTATCCCTCCGGCCTTCGAGCCAAGGGCTGCCGGGCCCGACGACCGAGCCAGCCGACCTCCCCCTGGTTTCGTAGCTATCTACAACGAACAGCTGATCGGGGGACTCCGCCTACCGATCCCTCCGGCCCTGACCGAGATCCTGAGCTATTTTGGATTTAGAATCACCCAGGTCCACCCCAACTCGACAGGATCATCATAGGGTTCCTAATCTACTGCAAACTCTGCTCCATTCCTTACTCCCTCTCCCTCTTCCGAGCTGCTTTCGTCCTCAAGGCAGCCCTTATTGGGTGGTATTACTTCTGTCGCCGGACCGGGAGCCAAGGTCGGGGGGACAAGGGCTGCCAGGACTTGTTCTACCAATTTCCCTCTTCCGTCAAGAACTGGAAAGGGAATTTCTTTTTTGTCAAATCCACCGGTTTTGACGCCACCACGTGGAAGGTCGGGGAGGTCAGGACCGACCCCTACCCGGAGGACTTGGACTCTGAAACCCTCATCCAGCTGTTGAGCTCTAAGGTGAAGCTTACCGCCACCAAGTTCTCCAGCAAGCAGATCTCTGCGACCGGACTGATGGGGACATTGTCCGGGTCCCGTGGCGAGGTGGTGGCCTCCCTGTCGACCTTGTCGCCTGTAACTCTGACCCTGACTCTGTGGTTCATTGCATTTGCATACATCTTCTTACCGTCCTATTTTGGCTGATTCAGCGATGCTTTTTGCAGTGAGGAAGCTTTCCCAACTGCTAGGCGCACTTACTGAGGCGGCCACCCCCACTCCCCAGCCAGAAGTTGCCAAGGAGGTCCCCGGGACGACCTCGACCCTGGGGGGCGGCCAGGCCCCCCAGAAGGAAACGCAGGACGCCTCCTCCCCCTCTAAGAAGGCCGCCAACACCAAGAAAAAGGCGACCGGACAGAAGAGTGGTCGAGGGGACGAGCCCTCCCAACCCGGGAAGAAACTCGCGCTGGTCCCCGCACAGCCTCTCCCTCTTACGATTGTATCAGGGGGACCAGTCCACTTGGGCGTTGGCTCCGCCGAGGAGCATGCCTGGGAGTCGCCTCCCCCGAGCTTGTGGCATTTCCGCCACATAGCTCCCCTGAAACCGGGTCAGGCCCCCACCATGCACGACCCCCGCCGCTTCTGTCCGCCCTGGGAGCTCTCCATCAACGACCGAGCCCAGTTTCTCGAGGTGGCTCGCGAGCTGATGGTGGGTTCGGTCCTCCCACGCGACAGGAGGTGGATGGAGCTGGCCGACCCTTCCGATCTCCTGGACGCGTATTACACCGCCCAGACTCAAGTAAGTCTTCTAGCCCATGGGTCAGTTTTGCATCTGTGTTTCGGTTAGGTATCGCAGCGTGCTGACCTGTTTTCCCTCCTCCTCAGGCCAACGCCGCTGGTGCTGCCCTGGCGACCCACTTCTCTGAGCTATCTCCCGACTTGGAGAAACTGCGGAAGAAGAATCAGGAGACGTAGAAGAGGCTTTCCCAGGCTCTTAAGGATGCGGACTCCCTTAAGGCCAAACTGGGCAAGGCCGAGAAGGAGCTGGATACAGCTCAGGTCCAGCTCGCTTCCACTAGGTCGGAGTTCGACCAGCAGAAGGCTGGTGTGGCCAAGCTGAAGGAGGATCATGCCATCGAGCTCTCCGGCACCGTCAGCCGGGAACGGAAGAAGGCTGTCCGGGAGTTCATCTCTTCCGAGCAGTTTGAAGAGGACATCGCCCTCCTTAACCTGCCCATCCTCCAGGTCAGCTCTACGCGGGTCTTGAATCAGGTGAAGAGCCTCAACCCTCCTGGCTTCAACTTGGCGGACTTCAAGGACAACAATCCCGCGGCCGAAGAGATGCTGGACTGGCTCTTCGACGGGTACCGCAAGGGGCATGCCCTGAAGGAGCTGGTGGGCCGAACCGACGTTGGAGCCGAGCTGGCGGAGGTTCCCCTGGAGGAAGGTGAGTCTCCCGGCAGAGCTTCCGGGAAGGAGCCGGTGGCCTAGGGTGGCGGCCACTCCAGAAACCCTTTCCGTCTTCTTATAAGGATGTGACCATGCTCCAGTTGAAAATACTCTCGAAGGTCCATCTGAGACGGAAAGGTTCCCCTGCCTGAATAGCCTTCACCATACGCCTCTCCGCATGCTTAAGGTGTACCTTCAGCTCCTGCTCCAGGCGGACTACCGGCAAGAAGAAGGGGGTCCGAGCTGTCTTCTCTTCATGGCTCGGCATACTTTGTAACAGATAGGCAGCCTGGAAGTTTTGTAATAGATAGGTAGTTTGGAAGTTTTGTAATAGATAGGCTTTGAATGCGTATATGAAATTCGAAAAGAATTATTTTGCATTCCCGGCCTGCGACCAACTCCCGTAACCAAAGTCATGTGCCGACCTCCTGGGTTGAGCACCAAATATATACCCTCGTTAATCTGGCGATCACATTATCAAAGACAACCAGGTTGGCGAAGCCGAGTGCCGACCTCCCGGGTCGAGCACCGCGCCGTACTACCAAGGCAACGGGCCAGCCTCTTGGGGTTGAACGCCAAACCTTAAGGATTTTTCCCGCCGACCTCCTGGGTCGAGCGTCGAATCTTGGATCCCCTCAGACCAAGAATAGCTTTTGATCCCATCAGACCAAGAATAGTCTATTCCGCGCCGACCTCTCGGGGCCGAGCGTCGGGCTCCCAGGTTCCCAAGTTTTTAACCCTTGCCGACCTCTTGGGGTCGAGCATCCATCGGGAAGTTTCTATCAGTGCCGACCTCTTGGGGCCGAGCTTCGCGCCGACCCCTTGGGTCGACCTTCTACTTCGAAGCAGTAACCTGTGCCGACCTCTTGGGGTCGAACATCAGGCTTCAAAATTCCTTTTCGCCGATCTCTTGGGCCGAGCGCGGAGTTTTCAGAACCCTTTCAAATTTCCAAGTTTTTCCCAGTCGTGCCGACCTCCCGGGCCGAACACTTCACCTGGATTCCTTACCACCCTTAGCCCCCCACTAGGACATTTAGTGAGGGAACGCTAAGTGTGCTAGTGCAAGGTGCAAACTTAAGAACTTTAAAAGTAGACAAGTGCTAGTGAAATTAAAACTGTAAAGTCGGGCTTTTATTGAATGATAAAACAAAAATTCGGATTTCAGAGAACAGACAACTGAACACCCTGATCTAACCTACGCTACAAACAGTCACAGATTGGAGAAGTGCCAAGTACGGGGTACCTCAGATCCATCCATCTTGGCGAGGCTGCAGTAGCCAGCTCGGCTCACCTCAAGGACCTTGTATGGACCCTCCCAGTTTGGGTCGAGTTTGTTGGAGCCGTGAGCTCGGCTAACCGAGTTCTTCCTTAGGACGAGATCCCCCGGCTGGTACTGCACGGTCCTTACTCTGGCGTTGTGATAGCGGGCGAGCTAGCTTTTGTACTTAGCCATCCGTACCGCTGCTTCTTCACGCTTAGCCTCCAGCATGTCCAAACTGTACCGCAGCTCTTCTTCGTTGGTCGCCGCAACGAAATTCTGTGTCCGGGGCGAGGGGAGACCAATCTCCGCGGGCACCACTGCCTCTACTCCGTAAGTTAAAGAGAACGGGGTCTCGTGGGTGGCCGTCCTAGGCGTAGTGCGGTAATCCCAGATGACACTAGGGAGTTCATCCAGCCAGCTCGACTGGGCTGACTCCAACCTAGTCTTCAACCCTTGCAGAATTGTTCGGTTAGCGTTCTCCACCTGACCATTGGCCTGGGGGTGACCGACCGACGTGAAGTGCTGGTTGATCCCGAGTTCGGCGCACCAGCTCCGGAAGGGGTTCTCGGTGAACTAGCGCCCGTTGTCGGATATCAAGACAAGCGGGATGCCGAAGCGTCAGACAATGTTCCTCCAAAAGAATTTTTGGATTGCTCTGCCAGAGATAGTGCCCAGGGGTTTCGCTTCCATCCACTTCGTAAAGTAGTCGATGGCAACCACGAGATGCTCGTACCTTCCCGGAGCTCAGGGGAAAGGGCCTAAGAGATCTATCCCCCATTGGGCGAAGGGCCAGGGGCTATGGATGGGGATCATTTCCCGAGCTAGCTGGTGACGCAGTAGGGCGTGCACCTGGCAAGATCGGCATTTCTGTACCAGTTCTGCGGCATCCCGGAAGACGGAGGGCCAATAATAGCCCGAGAGAAGGCACTTTTTGGCCAACACCCGGGACCCCACGTGCGCCGCACATATCCCTTCATGGATTTCACGGAGGACGTAGTCACCCTCCTCGAGAGTCACGCACTTTAGCCAGGGAGACAGGTATGACCTCCTGTAGAGGGTTCCCCCAACATAGGCGTACTTGACAGCTCTGAGCTGGATTCGGCGGGCCTCGGTTTTGTTCTCAGGAAGGACACCCGAGCTGAGGTAGTCTATGAGGGGTGTCATCCAGATGGCAGAACTGTCTATAGCCAGGACCCGGACCTGATCGATACTTTTCTGCTTTACTACCTCTACCAGAACTTTTTTGCTCAAGTGCGCGAACGAGGAGGATGCCAGCTTTGACAGGGCATCCGCACGCTTGTTTTGCGATCTTGGCACCCGCTCAATCTCAAAGGCATCAAATAGGGCTGTTGCCTCCTGCACCTTGGCCAGATACTTATTCATGACCTCCTCCTTGGCCTCGTACTCCCCGAGGACTTGGAGGACGACGAGCTGCGAATCGCTCCGGACTTGGATCGCGGTTATCCCATCTGGTGGGCCATCCGCAATCCTGTGAGCAGGGCCTCGTACTCGGCCTCATGGTTGGACGCGGGGAAGTCAAATCGGAGAGCGTAGGTCAGCTCTTCCCCGGTGGGTGAGATAAGTAGCAGACCTGCTCCGCTTCTTTCCTTGCTGGAGGCCCCGTCTACAAACAACACCCAGGACTCCTTCGGCCGTACCTCCTCGCGCAGGGGGCTTAGCTCGGTTAGGGTTAAGCTAGCCCCCTCAGCAAGGAAGTCTGCCAAGGCCTGGGTCTTGATGGCTGTGCGAGACTGATAGCCGATGTCATGCTCGGCCAGCTCGACGGCCCATTTGGTCATCCTGCCCGAGACTTCGGGTTTGGTGAGTATCTGCCGAAGAGGCTGATCGGTTAGGACGACGATGCTGTGGGCTTGGAAATAAGGTCAGAGTTTCCGGGCAGCGTGCATTAGAGTCAGGACTAGTTTTTCAGCTGGCATGTACCGCGTCTCCGGCCCTTGTAGAGCACGGCTGACATAGTATATTGGCCTCTGAACCCCCCCTGTCCTCCCGCACCAAGACCGCGCTAACGGTTTCGTTGCAAGTAGACAGGTATAGGAGCAGGCTTTCCCCCTGCTCCGGGGCCGTCGGAGTGGGTAGCTCTACTAAAGATGCCTTGAGATCGGCGAAAGCTTTCTGGCACTCCTCCGTCCATTGGAAATCTTTAGGCACTTTTAGGATGCGGAAGAAGGGCAGCCCCCGGACCGCGGAACGCGAAAGGAATCTATTCAGGGCGGCCATCCTTCCTGTGAGCCGCTGAACCTCCTTTACGCTCCTCGGGGGGGCCATGTCCATGATGGCCTGGAGTTTATCCGGGTTGGCCCGGATCCCATCCCGGGATACCAAGAACCCTAGGAACCTTCCCAACCTAACTCCGAAAGTGCACTTTTTCGGATTCAGTCGCATCCGACTTTCCCGCAGGATGCCAAGGATCTCCCTCAGGTCGGGGACGAGCTGCTGGTCTGTCCGGCTCTTGATGATCATGTCATCTATGTAGACTTCCATGCTCCTGCCGATCTGGTTCTGGAACAGTTTGTTGACCAGGCGCTGGTAAGTGGCTTCAGCATTTTTTAGGCCAAACGGCATGGTCCGGTAGCAATAGATTCCCTCCTCGGTGATAAAAGATGTCTTCTCCCGGTCCTCCTCAGCCATCTCTATCTGGTGGTACCCCTTGAAAGCATCCAGAAAACACAAGACATCAAAACCCGCAGTAGAATCTACTAACCTGTCGATTCTCGGCAGAGGAAAACAGTCCTTTGGGCAGGCTTTGTTGAGATCCGTGAAGTCCACGTACATCTTCCAGGTCTGGTCCTCCTTCTTTACCAGCACCGGGTTGGCTAACCAGGTCGGGTAGTAGACCTCCAGGATGATCTTGGACTCCAGCAGTTTCCCGACCTTCTTCTTGATCACCTCGTTCCTTTCTGGGGCGAAGCTCCTCTTTTTCTGCTTGACTGACTTGAAGCGGGAATCCACGTCGAGGTGGTGGACTGCCAGGTCGGTCGGGATTCCGGGCATGTCATCCACCGGTCAAGCGAAAACCTGGGAGTATTCCCTTAACAGAGCCTTCAAGCACTCCTTCTCCTCGGGGGGCAGCAGCGCGCCTATGCGGATCACCTGGTCTGGGCGGTCTTCCCTCAAGGGGAATTCCTCGATTTCGTCCTGGGTGCCCGGCTGCCGGGTTTCATCCCCCGGGATGTAAGGTTCCAGACAGGTCGTCTGGACGACCACCTTCTCCCGTCCATGGAGCATGGCCAGATAGCAAGCCCGGGCCACCTCTGGATCACCGCATACCTCGGCTATCCCTCCTGGAGTGGGGAATTTGACGCTAAGGTGGAGCGTCGAAGGGATAGTTCGGAGAGCGTTTAAGGCAGGCCGACCCAGGAATATGTTGTACGGGGACTGTTGCTTGACCACCACGAAGTTAACAGGGATGGTCCGGCACTTGGGGGCCTGCCCTACCGTGACCATCAGGGTGATCATTCCCTCCGGGTTGATGGGAGGTCCGGTGAAGCCCATCAGTGGTGTTCGAACTGGGGTTAGCTGCCCGTCTTCCAAACCGAGCTCCTTGAACACCCGATAAAATATGATGTCCACTGCACTCCATTGGTCGACGTACACCTTTTTCACGCGGTAATTGTTGGTGACAATGTCTATTACGATGGCTTCATGGTTTCCGGACGCAAGGGGAACTGCGTCCCTTGGCCCGAAAGTGATCTCCTCGTCCATACGCAGCCGCTTCAGGGAGTCATCCCCCTCGGGGGGAGGTCGCCTGTTCTTCCTTGCCGTGTGGCTATCTCCCCCGACGGAGCCCCCGGCGATGGTGTTTATCACTCCCGCCAAGTTCTGGGTATTCTGGTCGGGAGAGTGACCCCGAGAAGCGTCACGCCGCTCGGGGCGGTCGCGATGCTGTCCCTCACGCCGGTCTCCGTAGTGATGGCGCCCGGACTCCTTGTCCGGACGGCCATGGCGCACGAACCGTCCCAGAAACCTGCGCTGGATCAGGTCCTCGATCTCTTTCCGTAGGGCCCAACATCCCTCCTTGTCGTGTCCCACGTCGCGGTGAAAGGCACAGTACCGGTCCTGGTTTCTTTTGTTCCGAGGTGTCCCCATGTTGTGCGGCCGATCTCCCAACCCTTCCGCCTCCATAACAGCCAAGATCTGAGCTCTAGGCCGTGTCAGAGAGGTGTAGCTCTTCTCCGGGAGTGGCGGCGGAGCAGGGGCCTTCTCCTTCGAGAGCCGATCAAAGACGTTCTTTTTGGCCGAGACGTCCTTGCCCTCTTGGGGGTTTATCCGACCCTTCCGATCTCCTAGCTCCCGATCTGATTCCTTCTTTAGGCGGCCTGCCTCCTCCGCATTAGCGGCCGCGTGTGCCCGGGTTAGGAGCTCCTCTAGGTTTACGGGAGGCTTCTTGGCCAGCTCGTAGAAGAGCTCCTTTACCCGGAGCCCGTTCGTGAAGGCGGCCATTACCACTTTTTCGTCTTTGTCCCTGACCTGCAAGCTCTCCGCGTTGAAGCGGGTCATGAAGTTCCTCAGCAACTCGTCGGGCTTCTGCCTGATGGACATCAGGTGGGTGGCGTTCTTCGCATAAGTCTTCGAGGAGACGAACTGGGCGACGAACTGCCTAGCCAGCTCGGGGAAACTCCGGATAGACCCTGGTGCCAAGCCTTGGAACCAGAGCCGAGCTTTCCCCTTCAGGAACATAGGGAAAGTCTTGCAGCGGATCTCGTCCGCAGCGGTTTGCAGTCGCATGTGCGTCAGGAAGATCGAGAGGTAGTCTTCCGGGTCAGTGGAAGCATCATACATCTCGATGCTCGGGATCTTGAACCTCCGGGGTAGGGGGTAATCCTCTATCTCCCTGGGGAAGGGCGAGGTGGAGTAGTTGTCTTCGTACAACCGCAGCCGCAAGATCTGCTCGAGCTCATCTTGGACAAGCTTCAAGTGGAGAGGGTCGCGCGGTCGGCTCTTGGCAGACCGGACGAGAGAGCGGTCAAGCCCATTTCGCGCAGGCCTCCTCGGCGAGGGGTCCCTCAGCCTGCTCCCCGCGGACCTGTAGCGGGAGTACCTCTCGCTGTCCCCGACTACCGAGGCTCGCGGGCGAGGTGAAGTCCGTGGCCGTTTCCTTCGAGGGGGTTGGTCGCGTGACTCATCCTCCGAGGGGTCGGGGAGTGACTCTTTCTCTTTCCCCTTTACCTTCGAGGTCTGCTGGCCTCCAGCCCCCCCTCCTTCGCCTGCCGGATGATGTCTTCCAGCATAGGGAGGTTCTCCGTCACGAACTGGAAAATCGGCTGCCTCCTTTCTCCTGAAAAGGCTGAGCCCCTGGCGCCCCGGGACGCCTCAGCCTCCCTTCGCTGGGACCTGTGAGAACCCGTATTTCCCTAATATTTTTCCTAGGGTTTATTTCCCCTTAATTGCATGTTTTTTTGCATTTTCTGGCTTAGGAATATTTTTTTGATGGATTTTATGAGTAATTATAGTTTTTCGATAATTTTTCTAATATTGGAGAGTTTTTAGAAAATTAAGAATATATATTGGACGTGGGACCCACTAGTGCGAAAAGTTTGAAAAAATTCGGCCAATTAGGTTAAATTCCGGATACTGTGTAAAATTTATCGGGTGTTAAGAGATAAGTAGAGTGTGTGAAATGATTGCTGTGAGAGAGAAAAGAAAGGATAGGAATGCATTAATGAGGTGTCAAGTGTCATGGTATCATTTGATAGGATTTAAGAGTTACTATTCCAATTTTTGACTTTTTTGACCAAAAGGTTAAATATCTTAAAAATTGCTCAAAATTCACTCATTTTTACTCCTCCATGGCCGGCTCTCTTAAGCTCAAGAAGGAAGAGGATTTCTTCAATTTTCAAGCTCCCAACTAGCACAAATCATCCAAACCACTTACCTAAATTAGTTTCTACTCCATATTATCCTTCCATTAGGTGCTAGTAAGTTGATTAGTGAAGTTTTCTTGGAGAGCTAAGGTGTCCTACAACTCCCTCTCTCTTGTTTACTAGGTAAGTGAAGCTTAAACTTCCTCCTATACTTAATGATGTTTAAATTGTGCCTAATGGGAGCCAAAGTGGTGGATTATGTGATTTATTTCTTGGTTTGAGTTGATTTGGTGAAGTTTTTATATTTTTGAGGAATTTTCTGGTTTAATATGAATGTGATGTTGTGGATATCTTTGATGATTGGCAATAGTCTATAAAGACTCTAGTAGGTGTGAATTAGTGATAAATGCAACCAATTTTGGGTTTGGAGTGAAATGAGAAAAGTTAGGGTTTTTCAACCCCCTTTTCTCTCCGGTTTTGGATCATAGGGTTAGAGGCCGAATTGGTCTTTGCTCAAAACATGAAAGTTGTAGGTATTGATGTATGTGAGGTGCCTGTAAAATTTTAGGTCATTTGGACTAGTTTAGAGTGAGATATGTCGATTTTACTATTGCTGTTCTGGGTTGATTAGAATGTGAAAACTGCACTTGTAATTGACTGTTTTGGCTGGGATTGGTTTGGATTTTGTTGTTGGTGTCTTCTGATGAAATGTAGCTTGATGTCCTAGCTATCATATGCCTTTGGAATTTCGGCATTTGGACCTGTATAGACTGAGTTAGACCAATTACAGCATTGTGTGATTTGTGAACCTGCAATTACAGTTCTGGTTTGGTATTCTACATTTTTGACCTAGTTGTGCTAAGATTTGGACTGAGTGACCTTCTACATTGTTGTAGCCCTGGTTCTTAGCTTCGAAACGGTGGGTCTTACACCCTAATCCGATAAGCGTAGCATATTTTGTGCCATTACCGCATTAG